AATGTGACTTTAATGAATCTTTCGATGTCGTTGTAACTACGTACCAAGTTCCTTTTGAATCTTGTAGATTTTCTCGGCCAGCAGATGATAATATTCCGGCCGGGAGTTAGCCATAAAGTACGTGTCACTTTCCACCCTCCTCGCGTACGCGACCAAGATGTGCATTCTTTTATCAAGCATAGCTTGTGGATCAAGAGTCGGGAATATTGCTTGACCCCTGAGAAAATAAGCAAACACAACACATGCTGGGACACGAGTTTCAAATGAGTGCGCGCTATTATGTATAATAAAAGTCTCACTAACACTTTATAAACGAGATGGTTCCTGAGATCTGGAGTGACGGACAGATGCCACTCCTTTGTTCCTTGCATCGGTATCGCTGTGACTTGACCGGGTTGAAGACCGCCTGGAAACTGTAGATCCTCTAATCCATTTGGAATAACCTGTATACCGACAGCGGCCGCTGCGTCAGTGGCTGTAGGTCCGGTCGTTGATACCGTCTGATTGCCAGCTACCCCTACTATACTAGGATCGGAATTCAAAGGAAAAGATACGTTCGGCGTGACTACTTGTTGTCCGGCAAAGGCTACGGATTGTCCTGGTGCAACTAAAACACATGACGCTAATTGCTTGTTGTTTTTCGCGTAAAAATCTAAACAAATCATATTTTATAATTTAAAAGAATAAGAAAATAATATAAGATATATTTTTAAATATGTATATAAATTTTATAAAATGTTTTAAATTTGAGAAAGAAATCGCAAAGCAGTTAAAAATGTGCAACTCACTCTGTGTTTGAGATTGCACTAATCCAACGTTGTCCAATGCCCCTGGTGGACCACCCGTCATGCCGGGAGCTGGCATTCCAACGCCCCTACCAATGCCTTGACCGGATAAAAGCCCCGATGTTGTTGTCGGACACTGAATTCCTAAAGCATCATAAGCCCTTCTCATTTCGGATGGGCTTGGAATTGGCTGATTATTTGGTTGAATTGCGGGTGCTAATAAAAATAATACATACAACATAAATATACATCGCCGAAACATTAAGATGTAAGATATATATTCTTGCACAATTACCTTGCGCAGAATTTGTCCTGTCCTGTGCTTGTTTTATCGGCAAGCAAACCGGACAATCACTTTGATTACAATGCTTCCAATGACTGATGATCTGCCTTGACATGCTACAGTGAGGCACGGTGCAATTCTTTCCGGCATGACAATTCCTCATGTGATTTAGAACATTTTTCATAGTTTTGCAGTCCGGCAAGGTACATTGTCTCATCTCGCCGTTTGCTTGGCTTTCACATCGTTGACATTTATGTGCATGCAAAAGTAGCACCAACTGTTGCTGGATGAGTCTACATTTCTCTGGATCAGGTGTCGATTTCGCGTCTAAATGCCCCAGATAAAGTTTGCATTGAGCAAAGATGTTACACAAGTAGCACAATTTACAATGGTATAAGATAAACTTACCTGTTGGTGTACCAGTATTAGCCATTTGTCCTTGCGTAGTTTGCTGCGGACCTGGCTGTCCTCCGGTTGACGTACTGTAGCCTATTATTTTTTCAGGTTTTTTTGTACAATTCTATTTCACTCTTTCCGCTTCCGCGGGGGGCCGTTAGCTTATTTTCTTTTAATTACTTATATTATACAGCCTTGGTTGAACTGTATCGCTTTGCTTGTTTTTCCTAGGAAGATCTACACGCTCAACGGACAACTTAACTCCGTAGTTCGTGTTTGAGTTTGAGGTTATGTGATATGTGATGTAGCAAGCCAGAGCGAGCGAACAAATATTTGCTGTGTTACCATCTAGTGGAAACAAATCTATTGCCTATCTTGAAGTTAACATTTACTTGAATGATTGAAATATGTGTAAACTTGTCACCACTTTAATTTCAACTGCTTCTAAATAAGCTACTTGATGTCTGTCAAGCAATAAATTCGTGTAATGCAGACGCGCAGAGTAATGATGTTGCTCGAGCGAGAATGGAGAGGAAAAGTTCTTTCCAAAATAATTAGAGAATAAAAGTATCCATATATT